TTTTTTTCCATCTGCACAATTTTTACTCGTTAGGTTTTTGTATTAAAAATATATTTTGTTGGTTTGTTGCCTTTTGTACGCTTTTTTTTTTTAATGTACGTTATACATAAAAGTGTCATAACACGTTTATGTAATTATGTAAGCTCATGTATAACGTTTCAATACTAAGACATAATTTTTAAAAATACTATGTACAAGACAAAGGTAAGTAAGATTATGAAACAAAATATTCGTCACTTAGTAAGGAAATCAAAATATTAATATTTAGTGAGTTAAGCGTCGAGTAATGATAATTAAAGTATTAGTTAGTACTTAAAAATTATTACACGACATGTCTTGATCATTGTTAATGTTGTTCACTATTACATTATTATGGTCGATAAGCAACACTGTTTAATACATTAATCTGTCCCGAATTGCATGAAATTTTTTTTGATTGGTGTATCATTAATAACTTACTTCGCTACAAGTATTTATTCTTGGAAATACGTCTCGTCGAAAAATATGGATTGCCATAAAAGCTCATGCTGCAATTTCTCAATATTTTTCTATATGTTCCCTAAAAACACTCGACAAAAAATAGTAAAAAAATTCATGCTGATTTCAGATAGTATAATTAATAAAATCTATGAATTTTTAGTTGTTGTTAAATAAATAAACAACTTTTTTTTCGCTCAGAGTATGTTTATTACAGCACGCTCTCTCTGTAGTTTCTCCGGGCTTGAGACCGGCACATTTACTGTGGCCACATTACGCGCGCGGTAATTTATTTACATTCACGTTCGAAATTAAAAAAAGCCCGGAGAAACTACAGAGAGAGCGTGCTGTAATAAACATACTCTGAGCGAAAAAAAAGTTGTTTATTTATTTAACAACAACTAAAAATTCATAGATTTTATTAATTATACTACCTGAAATCAGCATGAATTTTTTTACTATTTTTTTTTGAGTGTTTTTAGGGAACATATAGAAAAATATTGAGAAATTGCAGCATGAGCTTTTATGGCAATCCATATTTTTCGACGAGACGTATTTCCAAGAATAAATACTTTTAGCGAAGTAAGTTATTAATGATACACCAATCAAAAAAAAGTTCATGCAATTCGGGACAGATTAATGTATTAAACAGTGTTGCTTATCGACCATAATAATGTAATAGTGAATAACATTAACAATGATCAAGACGTGTCGTGTGATAATTTTTAAGTACTAACTAATACTTTAATTATCATTACTCGACTCTTAACTCACTAAATATTAATGATTTGATTTCCTTACTAAGTGACAAATATTTTGTTTTATAATCTTACTTACCTTGTCTTGTACATAGTATTTTTAAAAATTATGTCTTAGTATTGAAAAGTTATACATGAGCTTACATAATTACATAAACGTGTCATGACACTTTTATGTATAACGTACATTAAAAAAAAAAAGCGTACAAAAGGCAACAAACCAACAAAATATATTTTTAATACAAAAACCTAACGAGTAAAAATTGTGCAGATGGAAAAAAAAAAAAAAATCATCAGTGAGATTCGAAAGCTGGCAAGTTTGGCTGGGGCAAAAGACATTGCCCGTGCGGCTATCGTCGATTGTACTCCCATATGACAAGATGTTATATTTAAGTTGTGAGAAGTAGGCGGGGCTTAAGTTAAAGGTCTGGGTAGGGGGGCTCTCCCGCTCCAGCTTGCTCTATGGAGAGAGGGTGATTGCGCACTGCGCATGCGGCGAACTCCCGAAAATCTGGGAGTCAGGAGAAGCGATCTCATGGTGCTCAAGAAAGCAAAGAACTGTGACCTTATCATCGATAGAGGCTGAGTACCTAAGCCTGACTGAGGCTTCCAAGGAAGCAATGGACCTAATCCAGTTCTTGCGGGAGCTCAAGCGACCAGACTTAGCAAGCATCATGATACTGAATGACCATCAGTCGGCTCGCAGACTCCCTCTTAACCCCGTATTCCAGGAAAGGTCTAAGCACATCGACATCCGACATCATTTCACCTGTAAGGTTATTCATGAACATTCGATCAACATCGAGTACCAAGGAGATGACGGCAGACATTCTTACTAAGGCTTTGCCATCTCCGAAGCATCAGAAGTGCACCTTGGAACTGGGCTTACTTTGATTCTTATTACTCAAGTTTTTACTGCGATTTTACTCATTTATTTGTTCCAAGCTTTCTCTTAGCAGGGATGTGTTAGACATACAATATCATTAGCGCGTAAGTGTTAGTGTACTTATACTTATATATTATACATTGCGCCTTACGTGTGTGTTATATATGTAGTGCTACCAGCGCCTGAACCTTAGCGCTACTGCGTGGCTCTACAGAGCTTCAGATTGCAGTCAGCCGTCTAACGGTGACATGCTTATTGTAAACTTTCTTGAATAAAGTTACTCTAGTTTCATTTCGTGCCCCCCCTTGATTATTTCTAAGATGAGCAATACAAAAAACAATTTTTTTAACAGTAATAAATCTTTGTCAAGCATTATCCCTTAAAGCCCTCAAAACATGCCAGTGTTTGTAAAATGACATACATGCGAATGAAGACAAGCAAGTACATGGTACGAGGCCTAACTCAGCCCTCCTTTCGGAAATAAGGTGATTTATGAGGTGATTTCTCATGCCAAAATCTCATCTGTCAAGATTTCCAATTTTTTTGTATTTTTTAGTATTTTTAATTGTATTATGCGTGATTTCAAAAATTTTGAACTTCAATTTTTTTTTATAATTTGGATTTAGAAATTTTTTTGGAAAAATGCGTAATGTGGCCACAGTAAATGTGCCGGACTCAAGCCCGGAGAAACTACAGAGAGAGCGTGCTGTAATAAACATACTCTGAGCGAAAAAAAAGTTGTTTATTTATTTAACAACAACTAAAAATTCATAGATTTTATTAATCATACTATCTGAAATCAGCATGAATTTTTTTACTATTTTTTGTCGAG